TGAAGCGTATAAACTAGAATGTTAAGGCGCTAAAATCATCGCAAACTTTAGTAGCGGAGCTAAAAGGCCTGTCGATATAAGCAGAAAATAATAAGCCAAAAATAAACACCTGATAACATTTGATGTTGTAGAAATTATATCATATATTTTAACAGTTTTCAGTAAATGCTAACTATTAAATAAAATAAAATATGTTGCAAAGGCACTTATGCTTCTGTGCTGAAATTAACTGTTTTTTGGTCACATATGTTGCCTGTTTTGCGTTGTCTCTTGATTGACGACACTGACCTCCTCTCAAGCTAATGGGACGATGAGATTGGATGAGCTCTCTCGGTTAATTGAGCCGTTTCTTACCATAGAAGTACTTCTGAAGAAGACGTTATTGCAGATTGACGAGAACAGCTTGAGACTCTCCTGAAGTCGATTCTAAACAAGAGCACAAAATGAAAAACAAGAGCTGTCATTCCCACCAGATCCCATGATGCTCTTGTCATGTCATATAAGACAGGAGTCAGAAAAGCTGAGGTCAGTGCATGTGAACAATCTGTGTTGTATTAACATTCAGATACATTAAGTAGAATGATTTTGTTTGTTACTACATTTTAGTTTTATAATGTTACATTAATACATTAAATACTGTCAAATGTTACAACTAAATGTTATTTTCAACATTAACACATTTCTCCAAAAAAAGTCACACTGGGTCAAAATTGCATTGTTGAGAGAGAAAAGTTGCATTGGTGTACACACACAAATTTTATTATTACATTCAGAAATAATGTAAAATACCGATATAATGAAAAGTTCCCCTCACTCAACAACAAATACTTAAAAATAGTTACAGAATAGGACAGAACAAGAATGAAAAAGTATTAAATAAACATACATTTTAGTTGCATTGATTATAAACAAAAATTTTTATAAACACCAATGGCTTTCTCGTTCGCCACAAATATTAATGTTAAATGGGTTTCTGCTCTTGTAACTGCATTAAAACAGTGACTTATATTCCGGAAAATGTGGTAATGACACTTATTTTTGGTGTTACTAAATTTAAGTTTTATAATATTACAGTAGAAAATGAAATGTCAAATATTCAATAAAATGTTACTTAAGCATTAATAAGCATTTGTTACTATACACGTTACTAAGCATTAATAATGACTTATTTTGTTTCAAATTTTTTAATGTATATATATAATATTACATTAGCACTTTAAACAAATACTGTAAATTATTCAAATTAAGTGACATTTCAGCATTAAAACTGATGCCTATTTTTGCGCTACTAAATTTTACATTTAAGTTATATTAACTGAATTATGAAAAATAATACAATGAAATATCTTCCAAAAGCATAATTGTAAATGTAATATATTTATAACGATGCTTTACATGTTGCTAGTTAAAAATAGATAAATATAACTTTTTACAATAAATTAATAAATAACAGATTAATTTTTGTTGATTAAACTATTCTTACGGTGCCAATTTTGTATGGTACATAATTTATTTTTTAATACTGGCAACTTTTAACATCCAAAAATTCCACACATTTAATGACATTTTAGTTGTTTATGGTGTTTTCTCACCATAGATGGATCTTCTACTAGCGTCATGTCGTATCCACTCAGAGACACGACGAACAGCACGGCCCTCACATCCTCAAAACAGCTGATCCACTTCCTCCTCTCCGTCCTCTGGCCTCCAACGTCATACAATCTGCAGAGAGAAAGAGACAAAATGTCCTAAACGGAAAAGAAACACCTCAACATGACCCCAAAACACATTAGAGTCAACACAAAACCAATTAACCTTGAGTACATCAAGTTACAAAAGTACAATGGATTTTGAACATGACTTTTACAAACAGCGTCACATTTGTTATGCTAATATGCTGCTAACTAGCGACACACAGCCGTACATGTGAAAACCAGACCAAGGGGCTCTTGATGTAATCAAACGAGCTTCTCAAATTAACAATCTCCGCCAAATTCCCCATAATTGCGTTTTAGATCACGACACTAAAAGAGTTAGCGTGTTAGCTAGTAGTTAGCAAAGAGGCGTCAAAACCAAATAAAATCTCAAAACATGACGTTTCATTACAGGTTTCTCCTCTTCACGTCTGTTTTTGAGACAACTAAAAAGAGCGGGAAAATGGAGAGTGTTTGTTCTCAAAGAGCGTTTCTTGTCTCTTAAACAGAGAAGGCCATGAACAAACAGTAAACGTCTCTCTCTCTCTCACACACATTTATTTTCCATCTTCCACTTCATCCTGCGCCGTCTCTTCACTATATTTGTGGGAACGATTCCCCCACACGTCTGAAATGAAAACTATCAATACTCACACTTCAAACATGATGGAAAAAGAAATCTATATGTGCCTTATGGAACACTAATACATGAGGGTTTCCCATAAAAATCAGACAAATTAATTGAATCATAAACATTGCTGATGCTGACACTACGATATTAACTGCTACATTATTTTTCGTATACAACAAACTGCAGGTAAAAATATCATGTTTAACAGTTTTTAAAAAAATCTGTGACCATTTTAATTAAAAATACAAAGCATACCTGATTTTACTAAAATATGGAACACATTAAGAAAATGTATTATATTTATACTAGTGCTGTCAAACGATTAATCGCGATTAATCGCATCCAAAATAAAAGTTTTTGTTTACACAGTATGTATGTACTATGTATATTTAATATGTATATACAAATACACACCCATGCATGTGTATATTTAAGAAAAATGTCACGTTTATATATTAAATATATTTATATATAATAGGAATTATATGAATATAAAAATAGACATGTATATACATGTAAATATTTTCAAAATATATGCCGTGTGTGTATTTATATATACATAATAAATATACACAGTACACACAGATATATTATGTAAATAACTTTTATTTAGAATGTGATTAATCGCGATTAATCGTTTGACAGCACTAATTTATACATACTCACATTTAATTTACATGTATACTGCACACTCAGAATTCATTATAATTTAAATATCTATATTCAAATTGATATTATTATTACTATTTATTCAGTATTTAAATGTATATATTCAGATTTAAAACTATACATATTTAGAATTTACTTACATATGTTTAGATTCATATATAAATGTTTTATAATTATATAAAATCAAGGAATATATTTATTAATTTGAATATTTATAACTCCTGAATATACTGTAATCCAAACCTATAAATGTAGCAATGAATTTTACTTAAATTAGTGAACTGAAATATATCTAAATAGTTATGTAATGAATAAATAGTTGTAAATCTGAATATAAAAATGTTTCTATATTGTATTTTATTGGCTATTCAGCTGCAACAGGAAATTTAAACAAGAAAAAAAAATCAAACCAGTGTATTTTCATGTTCTTTCTTGTCTGTCACGTCTTTTCCAACAGCACAAAGGTTTAATAATGGCTTTAATTATGGGATGATCTGATGTGGCCACACAATCACAGCAGACAATGTGAGAATTGTGCAGCGTTAAACACACTGATCAAACGCAAGTCACTTCACTGATCATTACACTGCTAATTATGGCTCAGAGGTCAAGGGTGACCCGGAGCCACCTGATATTTAGATTTCAGCTTTTGTGGCTGGTTGGAAGATTTCATTAGACTTGTGTGACAAAAACAGTCACATCTCTTCCTGACCAACAAACCTATAACAACCATATTGTTCCTATTCATGTCCAATTAAAAATTAGCTATGCAATAATTATTGCATATAATAATCACTGGAAGAAAATACTTTTTAATGTAATAAATGACTCTTTTATGGTTGACAAGCTAAATGCAAGTTATTTGCAAATAAGAAAATTTGGAAAATTTGGAATAAAGCATAAAGATTGAAAACGTGCAAAACCATTATCAAAGAGTGCAAAACCGTTATCAAAAAGTGCAAAACCGTTATCAAAAAGTGCAAAACCATTATCAAAAATTAATAATAAAAATTACTATGGTGTTATATTTACATATGGACATAAACAATGTTTCTGTCTTTTTAGATAACTAGCAAATTAAATTAATACAAATTTAGCAATAAAAAATATAAAATAAAAATGAATGAAGCATGCACAAAAAATCATAAAAGTGCAAAAATACATAAACAGGCATAAAATGCATAAATAAATAATTAAATAAACATTACTCTTTTACTGTTGATAAGTTAAATGCAAGTTATTTGGAATTAGTAAAATTAGGGGCAAAAATGAATACTGCAATTACTATTTAAAACGGTACTATAACATTTACATATGGCCATAAGAAACAGCATTTTATTGTCTATAGATATAGTAAATAAAATTCATGCAGCAATAAAAAATAAAAAAAAATGAATGAATAAAAGCATTAATAAACCCATAAATGCATAAAAATGCATAAATAAAATAAATATGCATAAACAATTAAATAAATACACGAATGTAAAAATAAATAAACTTTCGATGTAAAAAATGATTTATTGAGTGTAAGGCAAAGAAACTGAAATGCAGCTATGGGTGTTTATATCAAACGTGAGAACGTGTGAATCCAGTGATATGATAAAGATCTTGAGGTTTCGGCGAGGGATGCGTGTGAAGTGCTACGATAAGGACGTGCAGTCGAGCGTGCAGAAGATTGACAGTAAGTTATTCCACACCGAATTAATTCACTCTAGAGTTCAAGAGGAACTAAACAGATTTCATATAACAATTACTCCACATAACATCAGCTTTCATAGAGTTCACAGCTAATAGCGAACGCAAAGTCATTGCGGAGCCCCTTAATTTTCTTACTTCCACTCTGATTTCAGGGTTTATGGGATATTTTTGCTCATATTTATACTATAGAGGACAATTTAACCTAAAAACCCAACAAAGAGAACAGAATAACAATCTCTCCTCAGATGGAAAAACAAAAAAATATGTTTTTGAAGACTAAACTGTAAAGACCACTAAATGGATGGGTGTTCAACTGGGTGTTTCAAACATACATACATCCCACAACCATTTTATTAAGTCATCTTGTTTTGATTTTATGACGTTGTAGAAGCACTTTTATTAAAAACTGTCATGAAAGCCATGGAAAATTTAGATTTAGCATTATGCAAAGTATAGTGCAATATAAATGTTATTGCAGAAGCCCTCAACTGAAGCCAATAAATTAGCCAACTCTCAGGGCAGAATGAGCCCAAAAAGAAGCGAACGTAAAAGTATAGACAAAGACAGTTGCTTTCCACCAAATGCCAAATCACTCATCTTTTCCATGCCATATCAAACAGTCTATGGCATCTCATAGCTGTAAATGTCTCCATTAACATTCAAATGGCTGGTAAAAGCTGCCAAGCAGAAAATTACTCACATTTCCCATGAAACCTTCCAATTGTTTTATTGGTTGTCTAATGTTTGCGCAAAATTGAACTTGAGAGGACAATGAACATGCATGAAACTTTTTAATTCCGACATTTTGAGGATCAAAAGTCATTGTGACTGAAGCAAACAGTGGGGATTTATGAGTAAACTGTGCATAAAGCAATGTTAACGAAAACTAAAACCATACAAAAAGTCATACTTGACAAAATAAACATGAATTAAAAAATAACTAATTTTGTTTTCATCTAGATGACAAGGCAACATTCCTAATTTTTATTTAGATTTAGTTTAAGTACAACTAAAACTAGTTTTAACAACTAAAACTGAATAAACTAAAACTTAAATATAAATTAAATATACAAAAGAATTTAATTTAAAATTAAAAACTATATAGACATTTTAAAATACAAAACTACTACATATTACAAAAAACAACAAAATTACAAAAAAAATAAAAAATGTAAACGAAAACAGAATACATAAAAATAAAATCTATGAAAGTATATCAATGATACTAAAATAACACTGGTTCAAACTAAACAAATGATTAGCATATCCCTTTAAAAGTTGTTTGTCGAAATATTTGAGTTGGAACTCGAGACAAGACGTCATAGCGAACAACAACAAAAAAAACTCATTAGACAAATTCAAAACAAGTCTTGCATCCAAATCAAAGCTGAACGTGTGCTCAATGCTGATAATGCCAGTTAGGATATTGACGAATGGAGCGATGCTTAAGAACGTCATGCAAGGTGACATTTCATAAGATAGTGAGGGATGGAGGATGCTGACATGGTCAATATCATGAAAACGTGAAGCTACGAGAAGGAAAACCCCTCAATTTTTTCTCATTTGCTATTTTAGCTACCTTTAAACAAACTTCAACTGAAAACAGAAAAAGCTTTTATGTTTGATGATTCACAGTCACAGACAAGTTTTTGTAAGAACAATTAGAACAAACTGACAATAAAGAGACTGTTTACCTGAAGACCAGGTGCTTGACTTTGAACTGGGTCTCAATCACTCCTGTGGTTCTCAGTCGGACTCTTAAAACGTCCGTTTCTGTCGGCATGTAATCAGGGGCGATGATCCTGCCCATGTTCTCAAAAAAACTGGGAACAGAGAGACATAGTAACAACAAAATTTATGACAAAAGAATCTCATAAGCCGATAATTATTGTCACGCCATTGCCGATAAACAATACATGGCCGATATAAAAATCCTTTACTGTATCACCAAAATTAGTGTTACTTTAATACTATTTATATTAATATATCGTGAATTTTATTTTTATTTTAATGTTTTCAGTTTATAGTTTATTTTTATAGTTTAATATTCAGTTTATATTAATTTGTTAATTTAGTTTATGGTATAGTAATTTTGCTATGTGCAGGTCAATTTTTTAAATAGATTTTTTATACATTTAATTTTTTTTTCAGTTTTAGTTACTTTCGTATTTCATTCAATTTAAGCTCATTTCAGTTAGTTGTGAAAGCAACATTTCTAAATTTAAGTTTTTCATACAATATTTATATTTTATTACATTTAAGCTTTATTTTATTTTCTGGCAACCAATTTTAAAACGTTTTAGCTTTAGTCTTAGCAATAACAATGCTGGTCTCAATAAATTAAAAATAAATGACAAACTAAAAAAACAAAAAAAAGAAAAAACATTTTTTAAATAAATAAATAAATCCTACAAGTGAATTTAGGCATCACAGTATTTAAAAAAAAAACACTTTTATTAAAGAATTAAAGTGAATGTTAGATGACAGCAAATGTTATCAACATGTAAAAACAGAAGAAATAAATTAAATATCCAACAAACATACACAACCTAAAAAAAACACTATAATATCAGTTGATAATCGGTATGGTACCGATATCTTGTGCTTTCACACAACCTAGTTTGTTTTGTGTTAGTGGCACCAGACTAATTTCTTGCAGCATTGAAACTTTAAATGGCAGACATTATCCTCCCCTTAGCAGTTCCTAGTTTGATACCAGCAGGTTTTAGGTTTTAACTCCAGCAACCTGTCAGTAAAAAAAGTGGCTTGGGAGCAAACGCGGCTCCTCACCTCTTATAATCAGGTCTCTGTGGGAAAAACCCTCTCCTTAAGGGCCTTCTCTCATTGTCTAGGTAAGCAGCTTTACCTCTGACTGCAGTAAGTGTCTGTGGCAGCGATAAGACCGGCCCGGGGGAAACACACGCTGTATGCTAATTACCAGCATGAATATAAACACAGCATGATACAGTATAAGCAAATCTGTGGCGCTAAAGAGAGGGATTATCTGGGAGCGCGCGCTACGTAGCGACACACACACCTCACTGGAGGTCGCAAACACCCTGGAGAGAGAATTAGACAAACACACACGTAAACACAGTTTTGAAGCAATAACCTCAGACAACTGTGCCATAGATTTTGATTAAGAGTGTTTGAGGCATCTTTTTCTGCTCTGATAAGACCAGTTTGTCATTCTGTTCATGCGAACAGAACAAAGACCAGGTCGTGCTAAATGCTAATATGTCAGAGATTGACGTACACACTGTTGCATACTGAAATGTACCTGTTGCATTCGCACTGCTCCTGCAAGGCACGCTATAGCATCATTAGCATAAATTGTTGACTTCTAAGAGTTCCTGTCATTTTAGTATTTAGCATTGCAGCTTCAATGCAGTTAACTATTAGCAGAGTACAAACAAAAAGTGCTTTGAACTACTTTAAATTATGATAGATTATAGCTAGCAAGAGTGGCTAACTAGTTTTTTTTTTAAAAGAGTACTAGCTTAAATGACAAATAGCTTATGGCTAGCAAGTTGAAGTTTAGCTAGCCAGCTATTGACCAAGTTCATATTTTCAATTAAATTCAGCTCACGTGAACTACTTTTTGGTAGTATCTTGTACTTGAGTTGCTAACTACTTTTTGAAAAGAACTGAAATAATTAGCTTATAGCTAACAAAGTTATAGTTTCAAATGTAGTTTATCTAACATGGCTAATGTCACGCTAAAGCAGTGGTTTAAAAAGAATCTTGCTAAGGAAGTTAAAGTTAAACGTTCATCCTTTAGCTAGCTATTGACTAAGTTCATGTTTTAAACTAAATTTAGCTTAAGTGAACTACTTTTTGTTAGTCTATTGTAGAGTGGCTAACTACTTTTTGAAAAGAGCTTAAATGGCAATTAGATTTATAGCTAACAAAGTTAAAGTTAGCTAAATTTATATCCTTTAGCTATTGACTAGGTTCATGTTTTTAACTAAATTTAGTGTATGTGAACTTTTTGTAAGTAGCTTGTAGAAAAAAAGAGCTTATGACAATTAGCTTATAGGTAGCAAGTTTCAGTGTTGTTTACCTAACACGGCTAATGTCATGTTAACGAACTGGTTTGAGAAGAATCTTGATGAATAACTTAAAGTTATTTGAATGTCACCCTTTTATAGCTAGCTATTAACCATGTTCATGTTTTCAACTAAATTTAGCGTAAGTTAGCTACTTTTTGTTAGTAGCTTTTAGAGCGGCTAACTACATTTTCAAAGCGAACAAGTTTGACTACAGTTTATGTAACTTTCTCAGCGAAATTTGCACCACCATGACATTAGCAATGTTGCGGAAATTACTTTAGCTTGTAGCTTAAACTAAAGTTCAAAATAGCCAGTTAACTATCTTATTTCTAGCTAGCTGAATAACACATGGTGTAACGGCAGATATTTTAAGAAAACGATTTCGCATAAGCGAGTACTAAAACCCACACGCTGCATTCTCATATTCACAACTCTATAACAAAAGCCGCTAGCAGCCTTTAGCATAAACTGACAGAGTTGACAAACGTATATATCGCTAAATCAATGGTGTTATTAATCGGTTTAGTTGCTTGTTGACTTACTTAGTAGGGTTGTCTTCAGGCAGGTGCACCACCCTAACAGCAGATGGCAACATTTTTAATTTTCATTTCATTTTTGTTATCTTTTATTTCGGCTTTATTTCAATTTATAAAAAACATTTTATAATAATTTTTGCTTTAGTTAATGACAATACCACTGTCGAGTACTGTTGTTTTTACTACCATAGGGAATTAAGAACACACTCTGTGTAGTGTTTCTGGTTTTAATGACAGCTAAACAGACACACAAACACACAAAATCACACTCCAACCTCAGTGCCAATGTGATTCCTTGGCATTCGAGCCGAGTCTGATCTTGTAAACCCCCTGGGCGGCACGACAGCGAGCACCTCGGGCCTGAGCAGAGACTGTGAGTGAAAAAGTGTGAGGTGTGTTTCTTTAAATGTGTCTGGCTGTATAAAACAGACATGCCGTTACATGCATCTGGATGCAACATTCACTCGCTGCTGGCCTTCAATTCCCAGTGGGACACAAAGGCCCTGTCGCCGTCGATCTGTCTCACTCTCTAACGCTCTCTAGGGAAAGGCAAGGGCTAACTTTACCATCTCTAGACTGCAGAAGTAGTCTTTTTTTATTTAGTCCCTACAAGAAAAAAAAACAGCTAAATTAGTTTCTGATGGTTTTTAACTGGTCTAAGCGGATCATTAAAGGATTAGTTCACCCAAAAATTAAAATTTGCTTAAAATTTACTCATCCTCAGGCCATCCAAGTTGTAGATGAGTTTGTTTCTTCATCAGAACAGATTTGGAGAAATGTAGCATTACCTCGCTTGCTCACCAATGGATCCTCTGCAGTGAATGGGTGCCGTCAGAACGAGAGTACAAACAGCTGATAAAACATCACACAAGTAATCCACATGACTCCAGTCCATCAATTAATGTCTTGTGAAGCGAAAATTTGCATGTTTGTAAGAAAAAAATCCATCATTAAGACATTTTAACTTTACAACCGTCACTTCTGATGAGTCCATAATCCGTAAAAACGATTCCTCCAGTGAAAAAATAGTCTCATCTGAATCAGGAGAAAAATATGCACAGATCAAGTGAAAATAGTCTAAAACTATTCTAAACAAATATGCCGGTGGATTTTGACAACAGGACAACAGAGGATGGGCTTTTCACTATAAGAAACGTTATTATGAAGAGACTTGTGTCCAGAAATGCATTAATGATATATTCGTTTCTTACAAACATGGAGCTTTTCACTTCTCAAGACGTTAATTGATGGACTGGAGTGTTGTGGATTACTTGTGGATTATTGAGATGTTTTTATCAGCTGTTTGGACTCTCATTCTGACGGCACCCATTCACTGCAGATGATCCATTGGTGAGCAAGTGATATAACGCTAATTTTCTCCAAGTCTTTTTCAATGCAGAAACAAACTCATCTACATCTTGGATGACCAGAGTGTGAGTGATTTTCAGCAAATTTTCATTTTTGGGTGAACTCTTCCTTTGAGGTTATTAAGAGATCATTTTGTAGTCTGCCAATCTCACTTTATGCTGTATGGAAAAGAGCAGCGTGAAATCTCTTCATTCAAAATCTCCTTTTGCGTCCTACCGAAGAAAAGCATCTTTAGGGTCATTTTTAGATGATCTATTCCTTTCAAAAGCTGGTTCGAACTGGTTTCTCCATCAGCGTGACATTTTGAAGCAGTTTTAGCATTTAAAAAACCGCTCCTGGAGTTTTGTAGATATACTTTAACTCTCGGATTGATTTGACACCACTTTGACCTCTCACCAAACATCCTTCTCTCTGAAGTATCTTTTCTCCTCACTCCATTTCTGATCTATTTTTCCACACAATTAAATTTCGTGAAATGACGCCGGTCAGGGTTTTAGGGTTGTGGTTTTTGTGGAGAATTTAGAACAGCGAGGGAGGGCAAATGAGAATGGATGAAAGGCGAAATGAAAAGAGATTTCACAAGATGCATGCAGGATATGAACAGGTGAGGAGCTGCGACCTGGCCTGCAAAGACGATGGAAATTCCCTCTGATAAATCTGACCTTTAACAAGAGAATATGCGTGTTTCTTTGTGTGTGTGTGAGGAATGGTGATGGAGTCCTGTAGGAGTGACATGACAGCTTGAGAGGAAAGGTTTTTAAATCTGGAGAAACGGTACGTCGCAGACACAGGAATGGCATTTTAGTGCAAATCTCTATGCCAAAACAGCACTACACCATATTTAATTAAGTCATTGTCATTCTTTTC